CTGAAAGGGGGGTGGCCCAGCAGTGGCTGGCTGTCATGCCTCTGGACTGCCCTCCACCAAGCAGTGCAGCTTGCCCTTCCATTCACGCAAATTAATTCAGACAACACTGTTCTTCCAGAATAATGAGGGGGGAAGCGCGAGTAGAGAGTGAGAGCTCTCTTGGCATCAGATTCAAATCTGTGAACAGCTTCTCACAAGGAACTATTTTTAAGTTTCATATCAATCTGCTTGAGAAAGGTTCCTTCTGCTGCCTACAAATGTGCAAACTCCTCCTTCAAAGAACCACAGCTCAGGACAGCAAGATCCAGCCCTGCACTTGCACCCTAATCAAGACTCAGTATTTCAAGACCAAAGCATTGCACAACTACACAACGCTCCTTCCCTGGTGAACCCTGACTGAGCATCAGCAAAGCCCCCCCATTACCTTCAGAAGTCCTGTGTGTTCTCCACAAGCTTACAGGTAGCACACATTCACCCGTGAAACAACCCACACCGAGGCAGCCTGACTGCTTCTGGACACATTACTGCTCTTACCACTGCAATAGAGGTGGAACTGCTATATGAGACTGAGGAAAAAAAAGAAAAAAGTGAGATGTAGTAAGCGTATAGATGCTGTGCATGACCTGACCAGTGAGGTGAAACCATTGTACGCTGGGTTATCAGAAGTTCCTGTATGAAGGCATTGTTCAGGCTTAAGAGGTCTGTGAGAAAAAAAAAAAAAGGAACAGCACTACACAATGGATGCAGATAAGCAACCTCTGAACAAAGCCCTGGGCGACTGCAAGACAACGGGGAAAACTTATTAGCTGCAAGCATCCTATATCCTGTCTCCAATAAAGCAACACAGATGTTCTGCTAATGCAGGGGTGAAAAGATGAAAAGAGCACTAAGCAGCTATCAAGTCCTTGCAGGAGAGAGGGTCAGTGTTCAACAGCTGTCGGAGGGAAACAGCGGCTGAGCACACAAAGATGTCCACAGGATGGGCAAGAAAAGCCTCTTCTTAACAGGTCTAAGGACGTAACATCTCTCTAGTCACCAGCAAGGGAAGCCACCGTTATGACCACAAGTACCTGGATACCACTGCAAAGAGGGCTTTGCAAGCCCAGCTCCAGCCCAAGAACAGAAAGACCATTGTTCGAGAGTTTAGTCACCAGGGCGGTTATCTCCTCTGGGAAACGTATGGTGTACAAACACAGAGGCTGTGGTGTTGGGGACTGCACCTCTCCATGGCACAGCAGAACTGGGGCTCTGCCCAGCAAGAGCAACCAGAGCCATGGGGCTGTAGGAAGGAAGGGCTTCAAGACGCACTTCTTTGAGAAGCGGGGTGCAGAAACAGCTCCACCATCAACCCTTGGCCACGTGCTCTGCATAGTCTGACCTCACCCCCCAGCGTACTTCCCAAAGACGGCCCTCCAGGATGCTTTCCTAAGCCTGAAAAATCTAGAAAATCTGTTCCCTGGAAAATTCAGGCCACTTAACTAGCACATACTGGGCATCTGCTACTGTGTCAAGAGGAAACTGCAACAGAACATTAGTTAACAGCCAGTTACACAGGAAACATGCCGAGCTGTAGAAGATCATACTCTACTCCTTTGGCAATTTTTGCTTTCTCAGCACGGTGTTCCGCATCCCATTCCCCACCGCTGAAGCAGAGGCAGTGTTCGCTCGTGCCAGCGGGTGGGATTTGAACCCCAGCTGCCCATACACTTGGTCCTGCACATCTCACAGCCCCAGCTGTGCAGAGAAGGGCTGGCAGAGAGCCTGGGCATGCTGCAGATACTGCACCCCAACCAGCACACATGGGGAAGCATCACCCAAGTGACACTGGACTACAGTGCAGCTCAGAGCAGAGCCAAGCTGGGTGGCTGCACAGGGGACACCTCCCCTGGATGCTGGAAACATCAGGCAAGTTCTGCAAGGGCCATGGTACCACCCTACAAGGCATGCCAGCACTCCTTTCAGTTCACAAATAAATGCTATAAAATGTAAACAAATTAATCTTCATTCACAGTATCTGCACTGCCACTGGCTACAATTAAAAAAAAGTTTCAAGGGCATAAGGAACATGACTTTTTTTCCTTCCGATAAAAATATTTTTGTCTCTCACTGTCAGCAAACCAGCAATGTAAATGAACATTTGAAAGTCACTGTATAACTAAGAGTCACTGCATATAATCAGATTAAAAAGAGCAAACTGAATGCAAATAGGAAGCTTGAACTTCTTGGTAAAAGGGAACAGAAGTGAAAATATGAAGAAGCCACAAACAGTAATAAAATGGGTAAACCTATGTTAGCCCAGATCCAGACCTGGTCTGAACCTGTGCATACACAATTCCACCAGTTCTGTTACTTATTATGTTCATAAAAATAAACCCAAATCTTTCAAGCAACAGTTGAAATTCAAGGGAAAACTTTTAAGCTTGTAAAATTTACCAGATTCCTTCTAGAAACTCAAACAGGTTAATTACTCTGATCAAAACATTAAACATAATGTCCAGAGTTCTCAAAAGCAATCAGTTATCCATATGGTCTCAGGGGTTTTACCATCCTATTTAAAATACCTTTGAAGAGCCACACTTCTGGGAAAAAAGAAAAAAAAAGTGGATGTTCCTTTCCTAAGAACTGTGGTGAAGCCACCCTGAACAGAGATGCTCATCTCCCCGTCTGCAAACCCCTCGTCCCCCGCCCCAACTCAGACCCCCAGGCATTTGGTAAATTTTGAAAGTCACCCTTGGAGCTCCAACAGGGACAAGCAACCAAGAGCCATTTACTGCCTGCAAAATCGACTCTGCAAAGATAAGCACTAGCAAAAAGGCTCAGCTGTAACTCCAACAGGCCCAGCAGAGCCATCATGCTTGCACGTCCCTTGCAGAAAGCATTTTCCCAACGCCCATTTTTCTGGGAGCGCTGCTCTCCAAATATTTTGGCTGTTCCTCATCTACAGGACAGCATTAAGAGTGCATCTGCAACTGTCTCCAGGAAATACACATAAAGCTGATTCATTATCTTAAAATGCTGCTTTCATTTCTGCTCATTAAAAGAACATTTCAGATCCCTGCGCCGAATGCACAGCCGATGTGCTCTGGACACAAATTAAAGCACTGGGTTTCAGTTCTCTGCTTTTCTCATTTCAGTTTCATTTGCTGCCTGCAATGTGCATTCTCCATTTCGAGGACAGCTATAGCAGACCTGAGCTACCACCGGAAAATGCTCTGAAAAAAATCCTCTCTTTCCCTGCGATGCCTGGCACTCCAGGCAATTGCACTTGATGTCAGACCCAACCTAGATTTCAGGAGCCACATCCCACACCAGCATCCTCCTCCCTGCAGAAACAGAGCAATAAACAGTTGTTCTGCACATCCCACACCCCAGCGCGCCGAGCCATTCGGTAGAGAAGGAAAAGCAAGTGAGCTTAGGTAATGCACGCGTTAGTCCTCACCTTTAGGGAGTCAAAGCAGGCAATAACTCGACCATTTTCCACATGGCAACTCCGTGATGGATGGGCGAACTTGCACTCTGCATCAGACCGAGAACAAGTACCTCTCTGAAACTCTCGACACACTTCTAACGTCAGCCATTTTGTATCACGAACCAGGGAAACGTTTACAGCCATATTAAAAAACAAAAATTAAAATGCAAGCAATCGCACCCTTCTTCAGGGCAGTATTTACTGCTGATCTTTTTTTTTCTTCTTTTTTTTTAAAAAAAGGGTAAAAAAGTGAATTCAAGTTAAACGTGAAGAAATAACTAACTTGTTGCTTTGGTAGAACTCCTATTCATCAGCACTTAGGTTTTCATTTAAGTCAAATCGTGTTTGTTTAAACAAGAATTAAACATAAAGCCAATCATAAAATAGAAATCTTATCAGAACAACTGAAAATCAAATTAGAGGCCAGCTCCTAAAAGTGCAATTGTAGAAGTTAAAATATAAGTGTTATATTTTGTGCCACTGCCGAAGTTACTTGCAAATAACTGGCAGACTTTCAAAAGAATTCTGTGCTCTCCAGTTAATGGTTTCAATTATTCTTGCAAAAAGCATATGCTGCTGGCAGCACTTCAGTTTGTGGAATGGTCTCAGTCCTTGGGGAGAAAACTTCAGGTTTTTTTTTCCTTCTATTTCTTGCTTCTAAAAATTACGGTTCGTGAGCATCAAAACGAGCAAAAGGACGTCTTAATTGTTTTCTTTCTTTTCTTTTAAATATTTGCTACATACTCGGGGGAAGGAAAAAAATAAAATGGCTGAGCAAATGCGTGTAAATGGGGAGCAAAAAAAAAAAGGGGGGGGCAAGGCTGGAGGAGTTGCCGTCAGGGCACGAACCGCAAGCAACGCCGAATTAAAAAGAGAGGGGGGCGAGGGGCAGAGAGAGGCAGCCCTAGACAGAAATCCAAGCAGCGGTGGCTTCAGGAAAGGCACTTTTCAGCAACCTGCAGGAAAAAGAGAAATAGAATCAGCCAC